AATGCAAGGATCTTTGTACTGTTTTGGTATAGAGCAAAGTGCGTTTTCCTTTGTACTTTTCTTTGAATAGTTTTGAGGTGTTGTTGACAACGCTCTCCAAAGAATCTGGGTGTTGAATTTACAATGTGTCTTTTACTGGATGAGAGGAGCAGTGCACCTCACTAGTTTCTGACTGTGGCTTAAGTTGGAAGATGTCATCTAGTACCTGGACAGGATGTTGTTCTGGCGGGGCAGGTGAGGAGAAGGGAATGTGACAGCCTCACCACGTAATGGAAGAGCCCCTTCCCATCTGGCAGTGCAAAGGCATCTGAATCGTGCTGTTGATGATGGCAGCACCGTGAGGCTAGATACTGGCTCAGAGGAATGAGTTCGGGGCACACAGTCCTGAACAAGGTTTCCCATTTTGTCTTGGAAGGAAATATAACAAACATCAAAACCCATCAGTTGTTTCTGCCCTCTCAGTCACGTTCTGCTCTCTGATCCGATCCTCCTCTATGTGAATAATCTTGGCAAGGAGGACAGATACTGAAGGAGTTTCAGGAGTTTGGCTTTTCTTCTCCCCAAGGTAGAAGAACAGCAATGTGCTGCTTATGAGCTGTCAGAGTGGATGAAAAAAGAGCCTCAGGCTGTGTCTCCACAAAGGGGTAAATCTGGCTTTTGAGTGGCAAATGTCAAATAAGAAGTGCTTCAGTGGCTACCCAAAGAATGGATTGAGCAAAATTGGGACTGGAAATTTCTGGAAGGCAAGGGTAAAACTAGGAAATCAAATTGAAGAAAATAATGGCTCTTTAGTGACTGCTGTGATGATGTCATCTGACTGCTGTCATTTTTGTAATGTTTACTGGAGGCTTCAACAGCAAATACCAAAACTCAATTCGAGATGTGCCAGGATTCCCCTTGCCATAAAGGTGATTGCTGCACTGACAGGTGTAAGAGACAGCATGCAGGGCCTGGACTCCCAATTTGAGGCTATGGCCTCCACTGCAGCCGAGCTACTCCCTTTACCACTACTGATTGTGTGTTGCCTCCCTTCCTCTGTCAAGCAAGGTGAACAGCATGTCTGAGGCTTACAGCACCCTTCTGAGATATATATCAAAAGAGTGTACCTGGCTATCAGCCTGAAGCTAAGTGTTGTAAATATTGGCACTTAGGATGCTCATTCCCTAGTGTGTCAACAGAGGCACTTCCCTAGGATAGTCTCTACTGCATAAGTTGGCCTTCTACGTAATGTTTGCATCTCCTTGTCCTGCAGCTGCAGAAACACTGGAAGTGAATGGAAGTGAACCTTGTATTGCAGTCTGTTGTAGCCAGCTGTTGTCCTCAGTGTGCAGTTGAACATCACAGTAACTGCAAGGGAAACATCAAAATACAGGTAAGACTTTGTACTAAGCAGTATAAGCTTCCAGTATTGCTTCAAATTGCCTGTTTTCCTCCTGGAAAAGGAACTTTATCAGGAGCAGAAAATATGACCTTGGACAAATTAACTTTACTCCATCATCACTTGTTCTCTCTAATTTGATCGCAATTATCAATGAAGGGAAGAATCTAAAATGTTCCCATTGTGCTTAGCACACATGAAACTTTCCTGTGTTAAATAAAATTTTGAATACAATATAGTTTAAAGCAAAGTTCGTTATTGTGGTGACTGTGTAATTTCTGGAGTATTTTAAACATCAGAGACTGTGTTTAGCTGTGGTTAGATTAGAAGAGAATAAAATACGTTTTTTAGATGAAGTGGATTTTGGACAATTCTGTCTGTCACTTAACTCAAAAGGAAGAAGGAAACGAAAAAGGAAATACAAAAAAAAAAGGAAAAAAAAAAAAGAGGCCTCAAACTGTATAGTAGTTTTCTCTCTTTCCCACTAGATGGCCAGTTGTGTCATGTCCAAGAAGCATTTTCTGTCATGACATCTGGGAGAACCTTAGTGAGGAGCACAGGTCTCAATCTGCCAAAGCCCAGATGCAAAAGTTAGGCAAAAAACTCATATTCAGCAGGAGACTTTCCAGCCAGGTGCTGCTGGGGCATAAATTTTTTTTCCAGTCACTTGAATTTCCTCATCTTTCATTCCCAATAGAAATAATATTCAAGAGTAAAAGCAAGGAGGAATACATCTGTGAGAAGGTTAGGAACTAAAATCAGTGATATCATTTGGAACCATGTTTGAGATGGGAGGTCCCTATACACTAGTATTTTCTTGTTTGCTCAGTTTCTAAGTCTATTTTTTTATTATTTCTTAAAATGTTTTAAGAAACTGGTTTATATTTCACATGAAATGTTTTTTGTTGTCTTATTCACAGTGATTTTGAATGTTCAATCAGAAATCTGATACTTTGTTCATATGGTCTCTTCCCAATAATGCAACTAACACCCAGCTGCTATGCGGGAGAAAGGGAGCATGAGTCAGCTCCTCTTTCCAAGGATTGTTCTTTTACAGATTGCTCTGGCATCCTGTTTGCATGGCAAGAATTTAGTTACATGGCAGAAAAGACAAACACTTATTATTTCACTTGAAGATGGGAAAATCTAAGCGATTTTAAAACTGTTCTTGGAAATGTTTTTAGGGTGTGTTTGGTATCCACCTGTTACTTTCAGCACATGTAGGTTTAGGTACTTGGACATCTTATGTTAGTCATCACCCATGGTATTATCTGAACCTTCTCATGGATTTCTCTTCTACTGCTGGTTAAAAAGTTCAGCTAAGCATCTTCTCAGTCAGGCCAGAGACCACGAGCATCATGGCAATGAAACCACTTCTTGTGTATGTCTAGGTCTCAGACACTGGTCTCAGCAAAGACAAAGCAGTTTTGCTACTCATTTCAGTGGAATTACACACTTTACCTTCCCATTCCTCTTTTCACTGAAGTAAACGTAAGTGGTTTTCCTCTGTGCCTTTTAATATTAATGTAACTGTACATCCTGCAAGCAACTAAAGCTTGAAGTGACTGAGACAATGATCTTTGAGATCTCTCAAAGCTATTTTTATTTTTTTAAGGGCTGGTCATGCAAAATGTTCAGTGGTCTGCAAAAACAGACTTTTGGAATAAATCTCACCAATTTTCATTGGGGTTATCTTTCTAAATTCTGCAGTTGCTTTTCCTGTAAAGAATCATTTTTTTTAATTACATAAAACCAATGCTTGGCTTTGCAAATATGATTCAGTTTAAGTCAAGAGAATCATAAAACTTAAAGATTTTAATGAATTCTGAAAAACTACTTGGGATATCTATTTAATAGTAATGTTCCAGAACATTTTTTTCCTTTAAATTAAATACTAGCCCATGTCAAATTGACATCTTCCCCTGAATTTCTCTTATCAGTCTTCCCTTCCTTCCTAAACACACATATGCGCCTGCGCACGCACACTTCTGTTTCTCTATTTTTCATTAAACCTGGAAATGCCTCCTGCCTGCCAGAAAGACAAGATGGCTCAGTAGCCCTGCAGTCAATCAGACAGCTTGGCTTGCTTGGGAGAGCCTGGCCAGCCGAGTCACATTTTGACCTCCTTCATCTGCTCCTCTGAAAAGTTTTGGATCTGCACAAACTCCTAATAGCATTCTGCTCCAGAGCCCCCCAGAGCCAGGCAAACTGTGCTGCAGCAACACCTTAACCCTGAGACACCCACTAAGGCTCCCCAGAAAAGGCTCCCTCTCACTTGCAGTCCCCATTTGATCTTTTGAAAAAAAAAAAAGGAGTTGCTGGAACTGTGCACGCTTGTGTCAGAGTCATTATCCTTGCAAGTCTTTTTGATGTGACCTTTGTTTTGGAAGTGGGTGCTTCATTTTCCTCATATTAAATCCTTTACCCTCCTGTCTGAATCCTTTATGGCTCATGATTCCTCGTTGAGACTAGTCCTAAAACCAGCAAGTACATCGACTCTGTCAGTAGGTATTAGCCAGATGCTAAATGGGAGCACCTTATAAAATGTGGATGTTCTATAACAGTGTTATTTCTCAGAGCACAGGAAAACAGGTTGTGCCTAGATTGTTTCAGTTTTCTTAACAGACAGCAGGCATTGCTGGCTCCTGAGATTTTTATGTCCCTGGATACTGTGGAGTGCAGAGGAAGTATGTGCAAGTGAGCCTGGGCACAGGTAGCTCCATAGTGCGTGCACCTGGTACAGGTGCAATGTGTGCTTTGCAGCACAGGTCTGTCCTTTCTCCCTCACATGCAGGTGCTTGTGTTACCATTGGTTTCCAAAACTGTACAAACTACTGTGAAAGTATGGTAAATAGCATCTTCAAAGGTTATCTGTGAGACTATTTGCTTTGTCATTAATGTTTAAAAATACTATTTATAGAAGGTGCAAACCAGCTCTTGTGGCAAAGAGAGGAGAGCTACTCCCTTTCCTCCCATGCCCTCGAGGGGTGTTATTGCCAAATACAGCTCGTGAATATACAAATATACAAATACACAAATATACAAATATACAAATACAGTCGGTCGCGCGCGGGGCTCCTTTAACGCGCAGCGACCGTTAGTGGGCGACCGTTGAGTGACAGGTGTGCCACGCGCCGCGCTAACCGCCCTCACGTGCTGCGCACGTGCCGCTGCGCACGTGCCGCTGCCGCCTGAGTCGCGTCGCGTGCGGAGCGACCGTTGGCGGGCGACCGTTGGTCGCCAGGTGCGCGGCGCGCAGCGTTCGCTCCCCCCTCAGTTACCTCAGCTACCTGAGGAGAGTCGGGCGCGCGCGCGGCTCCTTTGAAGTCCAGCGGCCGTTAGCTGCCAGCCGTTGGGCGCTAGGTGCGCCGAGTGCAGCGTTAACTGCCCTTAGTCACCACGGCTATTGAAGGAGAAATAGACGCGGGCGGAGCATAGCCGGACGGGCAGCGGGAGAGAAGGCGACGTGAAAAGAGACAGCGAGAGGGCGCATGGTAGAGGTTAGCTGGCCCCAGCAGCAAGGGTCCCTTTGGAGTCCACGGGCTGCATCGTGAGTCGAGGCTTTTCGTGACGGGGGTGCAAGGGCAGTTGTGCAGCCCCCTTGCCCGTCGTGAGGCGGAGGAGGTCGGCCTCGCTGTTAGGGCCCGGTTGGGGCAGTACTGAGCTTGGAGAGCTCCTCGGGGCGTGTCTGTGCCTCTCAGCCCACGTCGGGGCCCCGCGTAGCGCGGACGCCTCTTCCCAAACGTCGCGGAATGTTCTGGAAGCGGCCGGAAGAAAGCGCTGCGGCGGCACCGCCGCGGACGGCTGCGCGACCAGCCCGACTAACTCGACTCGGTAAGAAAGTCCTTTTTGCTGGGATGGGGGTGAGCGCCTCTCAGTGGGTGGGGGGTTATGTCGCGAGGCTGGTCGCAGCGTCCTTTTCCAGCCGCTGTCCGTCGGCTCTTTGCGGGACCCGGGCCCGATCTCGCTCTATTCCTGCACGAAGCCCGTCGTCTGGGGTCTTTTTTTTAATTGCCTTGGGAGCAGCAGCTTAAACGCTGCTGGCATTCAAACCGGCTAGGCAGATGTGGAAACAAAGGCCGTTATAACGACACTGATCTGTGTCCCTACATAAAAGGACTAGAAGTATTTGAGTGTCCTAATAAGGAAGGAGATATTGTGTGTTTTGTCTAGCACCTAGAGGATGGCCTAGCTGTGGTTAATACTGTAGAGTTGCTTTCCCTGTGCTAAAAGGCCTTAAGTTTGGGTTCTTCTTGCTTTGTATTTTCTATGGTTTGAGATGGACAAAGAAGAGCTAAAGAATTTTATCTTCTAAATCTATTCTTGAAGTATTTCACTTCAAAAAAGAGTTCTTTTATTATTTTTTCAGTATATAAATTGCATGTGCATAAGGGTCCAAAGGAAGTTTTTCATGTGTGCCTTGTATGCTATTCTTTATGTCCGTTTTGTCTTATGACTCCAGCGTGGTCTACAATGATTGATTAATCCCAAATGATCTCTACCATATTTGTAAATCTTTGCTTTTTAATTAAAAAAAACCCTGTACATGAAATACCTTTTGAAGTGATCTTTTAAGAGGAGAAATTGGGACTTGTTTGTGGTTTTGTGTTTGTTTTTTTTTTTTTTTTTTTTTTTTTGTTGCTGGATATAGAAATTGTGGAGGCTGATGGTTCTTATTTTTATATTGTGATTGAGCTCCTTAAACAGCCAACCAAGTAACCGGAATTAACTTGCCCATTGGGCAAAGTTCAGATAGTACTGTGTGTACATAGGTTGGATTACTTCAAGTAACTTTCCAGGTGGTATTTTATTTTTAAGATCTCTCCCTTCCCCCCACTTTTTTCCCCCTCCCTTCTCTCTGTCAATCGAGGAGCTATGTTCAGAGATGCCTCTGATTGTGATGTTTGAGGTGACATCATCTCTGCTTCGTTAAGTAGAGAACTTACCTGCATAAAATGATTTCAATTAATATTTAATTATAGGAGGTGATGCTTGTTTGTGAGTGTTTATTATAAAGGCACCACACTAAGCAAGAGTTGTAATAAGTTTTTAACTGATGTATAAATCTGTTGCTGATGTGCTGTTATTTTATTACTTCTTGTAAAGAAGACGAAAAAAACATTGGGTAGCTCAGTGCTGATAAAGTGTGTTTGTTTTACCCTATGATATCTCTTTTCTAGAGAGTAATATTTGTATACCTTAAAGTGTTTAAAAATAAGAATTACTGGCTAATGCTGAACGGGTTTTTTATTACATTTTTTTTTCTATCCTTACGTGGCATAGTACAAAAAAAGCTCTTTATGTGATCTTGTGCTCATTTGGCCTAGCTAAATAGAACAGGTACCTATTTTGAGGGGTGTGACAAGAGCTCTTAAGCTAAAGAATGAAAAATAGCTACACATCTTTGTTAAAGAGCAAGCACTCAGCATTGTTTCTTTTATTGTATAGCTTGGTAGTTTTTTGATGTGAGATGGGGTTCAAATCTATGAAGGGGCTGACAGAGAAACTGAGTCATTGGAGAGCATGAAGACAGCACTGCATTTTGTAGGTTTGAGGATAAGAAATAATTGTGATTGTATCAGATGTCAGTCACCATGTCTCTCTCTATTTTGACACATTAAGTTCTACTGTCCAGTGGAAAAGAATAAGACAAGGCTATTAGGGAGGACTGAAGTAAATCCTGAATGGGAGGGAGGAGGTGACAAGAGGAGGGAGGGGGGAAAACTGTCAAGGACAATTTCTGTCAGAGAGTCCAATTCCTGGTGTAGACAGATTGGCTGATGTTGATTGTTGACAGTTTCTACAAATAGCTAATTACCACTAGGAAAATTGCAGGTGAATCACAGTAACTTCAAATATTAATCCTGTGTCTTCTTTTTTTCCTCTCTCCATTTTGCAGCTGCAACTATTGGTTGGCCATCACCATAATTGATGGACACTGCCAGTTGCTTAGACAGATGGAAATAAATAGTTGTGTTACTATTAGAACTTGGTATCACAGTCATGTTATTAGATTCTGGTACTTAATTAATAGAGAAATTAGTATAGAAAAAGCAAGCAAAGTTTTATTTGCAGACTAAGTCAGCAGTGCTGAGCACATTGTATATCTGGGCAGGGTTGTGCATCTGAACATGACTGTATGAAGTAGTAAGACTGAGCCAAGGAAGTGCTTGATTCCCATTCCAGAGCATGCTAACGTCTGAGTCACCCAGGAGCTGTGCAGACAGCTTTTAAGCATTGTCCTTGATTCTAGCCCTTAGATTGTATTAGAAAGATGACTATATTGCATGCTTCGTTGCACAAATAGGTTCAGTCTGGAATAATTTTTCTTGCCTAGTAGTTTGGTTTTTCAACTGATGGATGCATTAAGTTTCAAAATATGTGGCAAATAGCCTGTTTTTTCCTAAACTTCACTCAGCCTTGCATGAATAGGGGAAGACTATGGAACAGCAGGCTTGTTATGCCTGTCTGCATTGAAGGCATGTGTACAGGAAAGAAAACAAATGCTTCCCGACACCACAATTAACAAAACACAGTTCTTTATTTCTCAGAGTTGAAAGGTATGAAGTCGGAATGAAGAAACTTTCCTTCAAGGGCAGCATTTGAGGCAGGCTCTTGTATATAATACTGCTAGACATGGTGTTTCTGCACAGTGTTCTTCAATAAGGGAAAGGAAGTTCTCTGTATTCTGTTAGGTCTTCTGTCTTCACAAAACATTTAGAAATGTGATATTTTTCTAGCATGTCTGCTGACTTGTCAGGCCTGGTGGATATTGGTTATTCCATTAAAAAAATCACTGAGATGTTTGGATGGGGGATTTGCAAACTCTTCCTTAGAAAGCCAAGCTAAAAATGACAATAGCAGCCATATGTATTTCTCTTCTAATTTGTGTGTTTTCAGCTGCGTCCTGACATAACAGCTAAAAAAACCCCCGAAATTTTACACTGTATGTTTAGTTATGGTAGCAGCAGCAGAACAAATTGCTCTCGTGGTTTTTGTACAAATTTTGTAGCGTAGCAGAGACTAGAGGGCAGAAATGTCAAGAACTTCGTGGGATTTTTTTTTTAAATGAATAGTTGCTTCTGCTTCAGTAGATTTTTTTTTTTTTTTTTGGTAATTTGATATTCCACTTCATATCTTGCCTGATCTGATTTAAATACTGGATTTCCCTGTCAAAATTCCTTAAACTTGTCACTTAAAAAGTGATAACTGATAACACCCAAGAAGGAACATTTCTGTTAAATGGCCAGTACATTTATACTTATTTACATTGTTCCTTTTGCAGTATTGCAGGCAATAATAGTTGGAGTCTAAGTGTTTCCTGGTGGCATGTGTGTGGGTGTGTGGCGGGGGAATCTTTTTGTCGTACAGGTCTCACTTTTGTAAGCAATTTTTGCTAAGGTTGTATGGCAAATAAGTATATTCTAGAGTCCATGAACTGTTTTAATGAGAGTGTACAGTAGGCAGAAGCCTGAAAATATGCAAGTTTTTGGCTTAGATTTGTGATACTAGTACTACTTGTATTATTTTAAGGCTTTTGATTTTGAGGGCAATTTTTTTTGCCAGAGGGTTGCAGTAGTGTTAAGTCTGTACCCCCGTCAGTTCCATAGTAGTTCATTTGGGAGACCACCTGATACAGTTTCTGCCTTAGAAAAGCTTTCAGGTGGATGGAGAGAGCTAAATTCTGTGTGAATTGCCTGTTACTGGGTGGTTTGTGAATCTTGAGAGCACAATATTTTTATTTGTGAAGCAATTTATCTCACGGGTCTGTATTTAACCTTTTCCAAGTTACTTAAAGATGCAAAGTGTATTTTTATTTAAACTCTCTGGACTTCAGTGTTCTCAAGACTTTTTCCTCTTGCAGTTAAGACAATGTATTGAGTCCAAGATGAATGTGACTGTTCAGCTGCAGCTGCTGTCCAGGCCTAGAGAGCAAATCCTGCCTTCCAAGATCTTGGAGCCATCCAGCCAGCATAATGCAAAAGCCCTGCTTGCTAGAACAGCATATACAGGAGCAGACCCTGCATTCTTCCTGCACTTCTGATAAAGGTGGGACATTGCTAGAAGTGTCATAATAATATAGGAGTCTTATCTGAAATTTATGTAAGTTCTCATGTTAATTTTGGGTTTATTTGTTTAATTGTCAGTAATGTAGCTGTGAAATTTCTTTGTATAAACTTTCAGTTCTGGATACTTGCATATCATGTGAATAGGAAATGTAGTACTGGTTGAAACAAGAAAACCTTATATATCGAGTAAAGGAAATGAATTGTACAAACTAATACATAAAGGAAAGTAGCTGTGAAATGAAGTCATCTTAAGTAGAGGAGTGATATTACAGCTGAAAGACAAATAAATTAATGGACCAGGAAGTGGACTTGTACATAGGAGACAAAGCACTTGCTTTGGGGCCGATGTGATTGGGGGAAAGCTAGTTTAGGTGAAACGTGTGGCTTGCTTTGGCCTCATTAGATTTCATGACTGAGGTATGAGGGTGATGATGGCGTTCCTCTGAGGACTCCCTTCTGTCTAAGAGGCCAAGTTTTGCGAAACTGAAGCAGGTAAGTTCATATGAAGAGCTCTTTCCTTGCATTAAAGGAGCAGCACAGGAGAGTCTCAGAAGCTGCCAAACGTTGACCACCACTTGATGGGCAAGTCAATTGTTAAATTCTGAGCCCTCTGAAAGTTTAGTTCTTTGACAGTTTTCAGATCATATTGCTTCAGGATGACTTGGAAAATCCTTCTATTCAAAAACTTCTGTTAAGGGGGACTTTATCTCACCTGGAAATAAGAGTAGTGTTTAGAGGTAGGCTGGCAGAGCCAATTGTAACTTGACTCTAAATGCTACAAGTAGCTACAGCTACTTGATGGCTTGTTGCTTATTTGGTGGAGCGTTCATATAAGTAGTTTTTTCCTCTCCTGTCTTGCTCCTAAACTGACTCTAAACAAAATGGTGAAGCATCTTAAACCTCACCAGGGCCAATTTAGGATTATGAAAACAGAGCTAAGGTGGAAGTAGCTGCTCAGGATGGTTTAACTGACTGAATTAGCAATGCTTTGATATAGTTATGCACTTGCTTACAACACAGGAGAGGTTCGTGTAGTAAAGGTATGGTTGTTTTGACCACTGCTATGCCAATTACTGGATATTAATGGCAGGATAGCATGCATATGCCTAAACTGGGAAGCAGAAGGTTAATAGACGAACAGCACCAGAAGATCCCATTTATCAGTTTCTATTTATCTCTCCTTGGGAGGTGGCAGGTTTACAGTAAATACCTTCTGTCCTCCTAATTTCCTAATGATGGGGATAATGATGGAGAATGGTGAAGTCATTAACTGGGACAGCCTCTGTGCATCACTCTGTCAACCACATCTCTCCAAGACCTGCAATGAAAAGTGATGGGCCCCAGCTGTTCACCAGATTCTCTTCCCCTCCCCCGTCTTCCCATTCTCAACCCCAATGGCAGGTTTAGCAATTGAAAAGGGGAGGAAGGGAGGGTGGGGGGAAAGAAAAAAGGCACCAGCAACCTTCAAACCAAAAGACAAAGAGCGTCTTCTGGAATGATAGTAGCCTCAGCCCTGCGCTTTGTATGTAGAGGGAAGAAGGAAGGAAATACCATTTGGCTGATGTTAACAATTCTCTCATTCAGTGCCCTTTAGTTTTGAGCCCAGCAGTGTTGTTCAAATCAGATGTACAGTACTAGAGAGAGAGGGTGAGTTAAAATGAAAAGTAAGTAAAAGCCAGATTAACATGTCGGTTTTGGGTTTGTGCTTTGGCCCCTGAAAAGCTTTGAGAAGGTCTACAAAGTATCTGACATTTCCTGTATCAGGATCTTTGTGAAGTGCGAAGGTGTTACAAAGGTTACAAAATGGACATGGAAACCAAGTTGCTCAAGTGGCACATTCCATCTCTGATAGAAGAGCAGAGAGAATCCTTGAGACTTGTTCTATTTCTGCATCCCCATACTTGAAGCCAGAAGTTGCTGAAGGAGACAGCCTCTGCAACATAGACTTCTCTTTCTTAGTTTAATTTTTTGAGAAGCTGCTTTCCCCTGCCCCATGTCTTAGTGGCTGATTCCTGCGTACTTCATTGACTCCCTTTGAGAAAGGAAAGAATGGCTTAGCATTTGTTGCACACATTTATTTAGCCAGCAAGTTTGTCACTAATGTGTTGCCAGACTTATTTGAAATAATTCATTCTTCTCAGTGTGGAGTGCAAGACGCACATCAATGCAGGGGCATTGGGAGTTTCCAGGACAGTGGAGGAGAAAGAGCTTGCCTGCGTTCTCCTCATCCTTTTACTGTTTTCTGGGAAAAATGCGCCTACATAGAGATACTTAGAGCTGTTTAGTTGAGCTTATTTTTTTATAATAGAATGCTGCTGCTGAAAGTGGTCTGTTTCCCAGGTTGTTTTAGGTAATGAACTCCTAAGTTAATGCAGCACCTTTCTTGCAGTGCATCAAAGCTGCAGTCTCTTCTTGTGGTCTGAACTGAGGTTAAAATGATAGAGCTGACCAGGATTCTGGTAGGTAATGCCTCTTGCTGGTGGTAGGTAATGCCTCTTGCTGCCTCTAATCCTAGAGACAAGTATACCTGTGGCATCTTGTTTTAGAGAGCTGTTGTGTATGGCTGGGAATACCTCTTATTACACTCTCGTTTGCTGTTTAAGTTGCTGTATTGCTTTAGCATGTAAGGTGACTGTGTCAGTGTTTTCTAGAGCTGAACTATTTGGCATCTAAAAAGTAGTTCTTCTGAGAAAAGTCTTAGGTCATGCTACAGAGATGATGCAGACTGTTGTAGGAGAATCAGTCGGTGCTACTTTTTTTTTTTCCTCTAGATGTCTGTTCTGTGAAATAAATCATTATGCTTCATAAAACAGATTTTAAAAGCTGTATGTCAGTGCTGAGTGCCTGTCTGTGTCTTCTTGACTATGTTCTAGTTTTTTTAAATGTATTAGGAGGCTCCTGCTTTATTCTTTTATCATAGAAAATATAAAATACCTGCTTTGTCTGCTTCTTCCAGTTCTGTTCCCTTATGTTTTTCATGTTCTGGCATTGCTACTAATCAGATTGTGTATATCACCCGTTAATTCACCCATATATTCTCCTTTCTGACACATTATAACTCACATAGGCACTCATTCTCTGTTCAAATAATTTATTAATCCCAGCACACGCATCTGCTATTTATTTAGGTTATATTTCTACTGATGGCTGTATAAATTCTTATTCAGGTGAGCAAATGGGAAGATCAATAGTTAAGGACAACTCTTTTCTCCACCTACTTACAAACTTGAAATGACTTTTTAAAATATATTGCAGTAGGAGCTTCCACCTTAGTACTGTGGGTGACTTAAATCAACCACTAGTGATTGTAGCATTATCAGGGCTACTTTGCCTATTACGTTGTATGTTGAAGTTGACATCATAAGTACTAGCCAGCAGAGAGCTAATCTTGAGAAGGTACTAGGTTTTTTGTGTTAGGCACAGTGTTGAAAGGAAGTTAGGTAGTTGCTGTATTTGCTTCTGCTGTGTGTTTCTATAGTTTATTCAAGATGGTTCTTCCTAGTGCTTTTTGGCAAATTTCTTGAGTTTCAAGTTATGAACTCCTTGAAGGGATGATGTTGGTATACTTGCATGTACTGAAGATAATCAAGACCTCAGCTTCATGGATCTGTACATGTTAAAGAGGTGCAGTGACAAATAAATGTGCTTTGCACTCTCGGTTGAGTTTGTAGCTCACTAGTAACTCTTTGTTATCAATTGTGTCCTGAAACTGAAAATTCCTGTTTTAGCTGTATAAGATAGTAGGCAAAAATCAGATAATGAAATTCAAATGGCCAAGTCGGTTTTTCCTGAGAGGAAAAATATAGCAAGCTAAGAGTTCAGGTGCAAGTGAAACGTGCTGCTGTTCTCCCTGCCCATGTCGTGGGGATATTGATTTACAGCCACTGAGAGTCTAGCCTGCTCTCTTGAAGTCATGTGAAAAAGACGAGCCTGTCTGAACTGAGGTTTTGCTATTGCATCCACCATTTGCTGTCATAAAAGAACTCGTGAGCTGTGGGAGCTTTGTATTAGAAAGGTTCATTAACTTTCAAATGTTTCAATTGAGAAATTTCAGAGCTCTCAGCAATAGACCAAGGTGGCCAGCTCAGCCAAGAAAGTCCCCTGACAGTCAGGTACAGATGTGATTGCTAGTCAGAGTGCTGTAAGAAACCTAATGCTGTCCCAGAAACTGTCATACTTGAGTTGGAGGGGCTTAAACCAAATAGCCCAGAGAGAGCATAAATAATTTTTATTAGGCTTTAAAAGATATGAAGACAGAGGAACCTTTAGCTCTAGCTGTCAGTGGAAAAGCTTGGTGTATGCCAAGATTTCAGTCCACAAATTTGTTGTGCATGGCGCCCATTTTCATATGTGACTCATCATGGTCAGTAGATGTCTGGGAAGACCTGACTGGACACATGAAGCGTTTGATGAAATGTCTTCTGGTACTAATCTGATTTTTGAGATGATGATTAACTGTGTTAAGTGTTTTCTGAGTGGAGAGTCAAATGGTACAATGGGCATTTTTTCCAGAGTCTCTTATCTGTATTTGGGTACCACAGTTGTAGAGAGGCAGATGGATAAAAGGCGGGTGGGCAATAGGGGGAGCTGAAAACTTAACTTTACTGTTTGGAAAATGGGTGTAACCCTGTTGCTGTGTAAGAAAAGACTGTGAGCTCACTTAAACATTTTTCTTTTCTTCCTTTCACAGACTTGGTTTAGACAGACTTTCCTTCCCTGTTATCCAGACTTGGTTTAGATATGTGAGGAAGTCTGCACGCTGTCTTTGGATGCAATGGAGTAGTGTCTTTTGTTTGCTTTTAGATGTGATTTCTCATTGTTGCTTTTCAGTTTGAAATACACTTAGGTTTTAATATCAAAACTTCCTCTTGTCTGGCTACTTAGTGTTCTGTGATACAAATAGAGCAGGCATGGCTAGGCGCAACAGCATGGGTAGTCTCTGTAGCTAACCTGTCAGCTTTGACACCTTCAGCATGACACAAATCAAGCTAAAGCGAACATGCAATATTAAACATCTGCTGACCTCTAAATAAGGAAAATCGTGTTAGTCACTCTGTTAGCAATCTGTATGATAACTTCATGAAAGCATGAGATGACTCTTCCTCCAGAAGAAGAAATGGCTGGTATATCTTTTAGGTACACATAATAATTGTAGGAAAGACACAAGAGCCTTGCAGAGGGAGAAGTTTTACTTTGCTGAGGTAGGTCTGATAGCTAAAATAAATGTCAGAATGTTGAGCACTGTTGGAATTTGATTGGGTAGTGTGAGAGGGGAATATCCACAGCACCACATCTTTAGTAAGATGGATGCTGTTACAGATTTTGCTGGTCAAGTGAAAGAAATGTCACTGGAGCATTGTAATAACCATCTAAAATCATTTTTTCAATTATATATAGCATACAGCAATGGCTGACTTCAAAATTTATCCTATCTGACAGCACAAAGGCAGCAAACTCTTATTTAAGTCTGTTTTTTTTTAGCTGAAGAGTGTGTGTGTGTGTGTGTATAAAAAAAATATGTAGTGTGTGTGTGTATATACACACACATATATATGTGTATAAGGGCAGGTGTAGACCAAGCTTAAATGGTGGAAAGAACTGAATGATTCAAAACTGTGAAAGCTTTCTTGTGTGTATGTATATGTGTGTGTATATATATACACATATGTGTGTGTATATATATATATGTATAAAACTCCTCTGACTGTAGATGGCCTTAAGAAAAGGGGTCCGGAGGGTGGATTTTTAGAGAGTGTGGTTGGTTTTGCTTTGTGTTTTCCGTAACTGCTTTTATTCTGGGATCAGTTTTTTACATACAGTCATTGCTTTTGAAGTGTGGTCATATATATTCAGGGAGAACTATGGGTGAAGGCGTTGCTGTTTCAGTGCTTTATATGAATTTTGATGGACTTGAGCTCCATGAACTTGAAAAAGAAAGTTATTAAATGTTTTTCTTGAATAAGCATACCCTTGCTGTCTTTAATGGGTGAGGTGTTTTTGGTTCTGTAGAATATACCTTTCTCAAATGCTATTAGTTTCTGCCTTGGCTGTACCCAAGAATGGGGGACCTTGTGGGTATCATGAGAGAAACAGGCTTTAAATTTAGATTTTTTTTTCCACTATTTTTGCTCTGACTCCAAATTACCAGAGTGCTGCATCTTTTAGAGGTATCCTAGCCCTACCAATTTTAAGAGCAGCTGAAGGGTACGGACAAGGAAGTAGGTTGTATGAGGATGTGAAAGGGCAGGTGTAGACCAAGCTTCAATGGTGGAAAGAACTGAATGATTCAAAACTGTGAAAGCTTTCTTGTTTCTTTGAGAGGATTGTGTTGTGCATACATTGGCCCATGGTTGAGTGTGTGTGCTTTAGATAAATGCATTCCTTCTTCCTGTCACTGACCTCCATCACCGCAAAATCAGACTCCCACAGAGCTTTAATAATGCCAAGCATCTACAACTTTTCCAGAAGAGCACTTGCTGTGATATTTTTATCATAAAAAGGAGCCTGTGGTCTTTGGTTTACAGAAACCTCATTATGTGACTCTTCCTCTCCATCCTGCCTTTGGAAAATTTTTTGTATTAGATCCTAAAAATCCTTAAGCGTTGTTATATGGCAAGAATCTGAGCATTCCCAAAGCATTTTATTTGGAATTGTTACTGTTACAGAGAAAAGGATGTTTTGATTGCTCTCAGTATATCCTTTGCCTTACTTGCCTTTCTCCTGTTAACAGTGGAAACCCATGCAGTTCTCTGCTCTTACTTTTCTTTAGATAAACTGTCCACAAATAAAAAGATATTTTAAGAGAGAGACCTTGAAGACTTGAAGGTGGGAGCTCTGACCACAATGCTCAGTAAACTGTGATAACAGCTTGTTTGGAGGTAACTGATGTTTTAAAAACAAAACAAAAAAACCCCAGCAGCATTGTGGCAATGTTAAGCTTGCCCCTCAAATTTTTTTCTTATTACTCACATAATGTAAAGCATGTTCATATGTTTGATCAGCCACAGTTGTTTTGCTTGACTACACAGGCTACATTCAAAACCCATGGTGAATGTTTTTGTCACTTTTGCTGTTCTGGCCACTGTGTTTAATCAAAGAGCTGGAAGGAAAGTTCTCATTAGAGAAGCTTTCTTTTCATCTTACAAAAGACTTGTTTTTGGCTAATAGAGGCTTTAGAGAGGTTTTGCTTCTGGTTAGAGTTGGTCTACTTGACCTGATCTAGGCCTGAGGCAAAATTGAGGAGAAAGCAGCCAAGTCTTGCAATAAATGATGCTGTGGCAACATGATTGCTATATTTGAATGGACTTAGTTCCAAAAGATTCCTTTGCTGCTCGGAAATTAAAGAATTTCCCTGCTATAGCAGCTGACTACTGTAACTGATAATGATAACTGTAAACTTGCAGGTAAAAATGTGGATTTCTACAAAATCAATCTCTTCCCTGCCGAGTATAGTAGCAGTATTAGTGTGTGTGAGCGTAGCAGTCAGTCGTGTGAGGTGCTGAAGAAATGTCATGCAGGGCAAGCTGTGGCAGAGAATGGGCAATCTAAATGGAGGAAGAAGGTCAAGGCTGGGGGAAAGGATGTTGTGGGAAGCAGAGGGGTGTCTCCAGACCCCATCCAGCAGTGGGGGAAAAATGAAAACAGCAGTGTCTTTCAGTTTAGAGATTGCTTGTAGGTGTTGAAAAGCTGGTATTTGCTTTTACAGGGAACATGGGAAAAGTTATCTTCTCTTGGAGAGTGCCTTGATGTCTAGCACCTGGAGCTTTTTCACTTGAGGTGTAATATAACCTGGTCCATACCTGGAACTATGAAGAATTTGCCAGGAGAAAGAGACGAGAAATGTAGGTTCCTTATTGAATAGGGTAAAATTGGAATTCAAGTTGTTACTGGAGTAGAAGAAAAGTGTGACCATCAATGACATTGCCTTGAGAAGCTTGCCAGATCGCTCCATCGCATGCCTAGCAACTTCGAGTTTCTTAAGCACTGGATGCAGCAGAAGGAACAACTACCTGGGGAGCCTAGGACCGCTTTGCTGTGGGATCTAGCTGTAGCTCAAGCTTCTGAAGGTGTGTTTCAATTGGTCCCATCAGGGGGTAGTAAAGAGATGAGAGGAGACAGATGGGGAAAGGAGACAGACAATGCACCTAATCTCACCCAAGGGAAATGTTAAATTTAAGTTTCTTTGTTAACAGTTTCCTAATATATTAGTCTCTGACCTTGCCATGAGAATGTGCAAGTACCTTCCTGCTCTCCTTTTCCTTTGCTTTCGGCTTTTTATCTTTGTGCAGAGCAATAAAGATGCTCAAGTCCAGAGAGCTCCTGGAGGAATTGAGTTCTTAAAAGACACGACATTACTCTATGAAGCGAGAGAGAGGAGGGGTGGGTATATGAGTAGGAATGGGAAGGAGACCTGTCAGGAATGATTCCAGCACTCATCAAAGCTAGGTGAAGGGAGGGGATATTCTCCTTTTAAAGACAAGAGACTTGCTGTTCCCATAGACCATGTTTGTACAGCATGAGAGCAACATCGAGTAACTCAAGTGCTTGGAAGCCATAGTGCTGGGAGCGGTATGTCTTAAGAATCAGTCACTGCTTTGAGGTGCTAAACAGACAGATTAAAAAAAAATGTAATCTATATCACTGCTTATGCAGTCAGGGAGGGTTACAGATGTAGAGAATATAGAGACTTTGCCCTGTTAGTGGCAGGAGGCTAGTAGCAGGAATGGAACTGGGGTTTGCACCACTTGGTTTTGTCTGGAGTCATAATTACAGCAATAAAAGTAATACTTCGCTCATTATTCCTGTTCCTGCTATGCTTATTTGGCTTGAGCTTATGTCCATACCGGTGCTATCATGAGAGATGCTCCCTATTTTGGGAACTTGAACTAGTGTAAAAAGGATAAAGGCAAGAAATTGGGGGATGATGACCATATATGGGGGAGGAATAAGAGGACATTCTTCGTGTTACGTTTTGTAAGCTTCCTCTGAAGTTGTCAAGCTCTGTAACACTGTTTTAATGATGGCTTAGGGCTTCAGGGCACTAACTATAATAAGCCAAAATCAGGAATAGAGGTAGCAAAAGGAGCTCTTATCAGTAAAGAAAGGAGATTTGAGTTACGCTTAAGACATGGGTGTTGTTGGATTTTTGTCAAAATCTATATTTTGTCCTGGAAATGTCAAAGCAATATTGCAAACTCACACTTTTTTGAAATGAGCTGCTCTTTTTCCTGTAGTAGCTCCTCTGTAGTCCAGTTGCCTACAGATGAGTAGGGATGCCTGCGAAGGGCTGCAATATATGGTACATACTATAGGTAATAAATGTATGATTTAATGGATATGATTAACCGTCTTTGCAGTTTCCTCTTTGACTGAATCCTTCTTCTATCAAGTCTGATATATCTGCAAACCTGAGGAAAAGATTGTATTAATCACAGGATAAGAAGAATTTAAGATGTATTAGTAGTCATAAATTCATCTAGATAGTACTATCGTCATTCTTTTTGTTATGTCTATGAGACTGTTTACTACCTGTGTTAGGACTTGATATATCCCTCACCTATGGAGTCCTGTGCGTGCTTGCCTTCCCCCTCCCTTCTCCTCTTCCCCCTCCTCCTTGCTCACACCAGTTTTGTAAAAACAGTATGTGATGATTTTGTATCATACCGCCAATGGAAGAATTAAATAGTTTCTTAAGTGACAGGTTTTAAATCAAATAAAAAGGAGACATTCGTCATATATGTGCAGTCATACTTTCTGTCATCTTTTGAAACTGCAAAAAGGTGGTCTCGGTAAAGCTCACTTAAATATGTTATGTGCTGTGAACACTGTAGTTGGGATTTTCTTTAGCAGAATATCTCTAATAATACATATCACAGAATCACAGAATCACAGAATGGTTGAGGTTGGAAGGGACCTCTGGAGATCATCTAGTCTAATTCTCCTGCTCAGGCAGGGACACCTAGAGCATGTGGCACAGGGAGGCGGTCTTTGAATCGCTCCCAAGAATGAGACTCCCCAGCCTCTCTGGGCAGTCTGTTCCAGTGCTCTGTCATTCCAACAGTAAAGGGATTCTTCCTTGTATGGAGACGAAACTTCCCGTCTTCATTTTGTATCCGTTGCCCCTTGTCCTGACACTGGTCACCACCAAGAAGAGTATGGCCCTAACCTTTTTACGTTCTCCCTTCAGGTATTTGCACATGTCGATAAAATCCCCTCTCAGTCTTCTCCGGGCCCAGCTCAAGTGAGTCTTTTCCACTAAGGTAGATATTCAGGTACCTTAATGAACTTTCCTGCTCTATGCTGGACCCCCTCTACAAGCTCCACATTCCTCATGTACTGGTGAGCCCAGAACTGCACACAGTACTCCAGGTGTGGCCCCACCAGCGCTGAGCAGAAGGGGAGGATCACCTCCCTTGACCCGCTGAAAACACTCCTCCTGATGCAGGCCAAGATCCCATGATCCCATTGGCCTTCTTGGCCACTAGGGCACATTTCTGACTCATGATTATCATGTCAACCAGAACTCCCCAATCCCTCTCCAGGGAGCTGATTTCCAGCAGGTCAACCCATGATCTCGCCTGCTGCCTGGGGTAATTCCTCCCCACATGCAGGCCCATGCACTTGTCCTTGTTGAACCATGTGAGATTCCTCTTTGCCCAACTCTCTAACCTCTCTAGGTCCCTCCACTAGCAGCACAGCTTTTGGGAATGTCTGCTTCTCCACACAGTTTGGTATCATCTGCAAACTTGCTTGGGTGCCCTTTGTCACCTTGTTCAAGTCCTTGATGAGTAAGTTGGATGGCACTGGCCCTACTACTGACTGTTGGGGGCCACCACTGGTCACAGGCATCGAATTAGACTTGGCACTGTTGATCACAACACTTTGAGCGCTGCTGTCCAGCAACTTCTTAATCCACCTCACTGTCCACTCATCCCTGTTTCTGACCTTCCCTGTGAGGACTGTATAGGAGACAGTGTCAAAAGCTTTGCTTAAGTCAGGATAGATAATTTCCAGAGTCTTCCCTCAGCCAGGCAGCCAGCCCATTGTAGAAGACTGTCAGGTTGGTCAAAGATTGACTTCCCCTTTGTGAATCTATGCTGACTATTCCTGATCATCTTGTTTTTCTTGAGATACTTAAAGATGTTGACCAGGATGAGCTGCTCTGTCACAGAATGGTTGAGGTCGGAAGGGACCTCTAGAGATCATCTAGTCCAAACTCTCTGCTCAAGCAGAGACACTGAGACCACATTGCACAGGGTTGCATCTAGATGAGTTTTGAAGAGCTCTGGAGAAGGAGACTCTAGAACACCTCTGGGCAGGCTGTTCCAGGGCTCTGTTACCATTACAGGAAAGGAGTTCTGCCTCACATGGAGATGGAGCTTTCTGTGTTTCTACTTGTACCCATTACTCTGTGTCCTGTCACTGGTCATCACTGAGAAGAGTTTGGCCCCATCCTCCTTACATTCTCCCCTCCGATATTTACACATATTGATCAAATCTTCTCTTAGTCTTCACTAGGCTAAACGGGCCCAGCTCAAGTGAATCTTTCCTAATAAGATAGATGTTTGGGTACCTTACTGAACTTGGTTGCTCTATGCTGAACTCTGTGTAGAAGCTCCGTATCTCTTTTGTATGGGAGAGTGCAGAACTGCACACAGTACTCGAGGTGTGGCGTCACCAGGGCTGTGTAGAGGGGGAGAATCACCTCCCTTGACCTGCTGAAAACACTCCTCCTGATGCAGGCCAGGATCCCATTGGCCTTCTTGGCCATGAAGGCATGTTTCTGACTCATGATTAACTTGTCAACCAGAACTCCCCAATCCCTCTCCACGGAGCTGCTTTCCAGCAGGTCAACCCATGATCTGTCCTGATGCCTGGGGTTATTCCTCCCCAGATGCAGGCCTCTGCACTTGTCCTTGTTGAGCCTCATGAGGTTCCTCTTTGCCCAAATCGCCAACCTGTCGAGGTCCCTCTGAATGGCAGTACAGCTGTCTGGAGTGTCAGTCACTCCGCCCAGTATCGTCCGCAAACTTGCTCAGGGTGCATAGCCTCTGCGTCACCTTTCCAGGGATGGATGTGAGGCTGACCAGCCTGTAGTTACCCAGGCCCTCCTTCTTGTCCTTTTGAAGACCGACATGACTTTCTTCCAGGCCTCTGGCACCTCTCCTGCTCTCCAGGACCTCTCGAAAATGATGAAGAGCGGCTCAGGAGTACCATTCCCTGCCAATTCCCTCTGCTCTATTGGGTGCATCCCATCCAGGCCCATAGATTTATGTGTGTCCAATTTGCCTAAATAATCTCTAACCCAATCCTTCTTGACCAGCAGCAAGTTTTCCTCTCTCCTGTTTTTCTCTCTTGTGTCTAGGCTCTGTGGTTCTTGGGGCCTAGCCTTAGCAGAAAGCACTGAAGCCACTGAAGCTTTTGGTATCTCTGCCTTCTCTGTATCCTCTGTCACCAATGCACTCCTCCTCCTGAGCAGTGGACCTGCATTTTGTCTAGTCTTTTTCTTGCTGTTGATATACTTGTAGAAGGCCTTGCTCTTTTCCTTGCTCACTGTAATTTCAAACTGGCCTTGGCCTTCTTCACTGCATCCCTGCAATACTTTACTGCATATTATAGGAACATATGTTCCTATATTCTTCCTGTGTGGAAGCACTGGGCTTCCAGTGTGCCTCTCTTTCTAGCTGGGGCAGTTGTAACTTGACTATGTGGCCTTCAGTAGCTCTCCCATTTTGCTCTTTTTCCTCTTGAGGCTTTGAGCATCCTTTGTTGGCTCTGGAGTTAGGGTGGTGTGAGTGGCATGGCAGACCATCCCCTACTTTATCACCAGCTTCCCTGATGATACCCCACTTCCCTGACAAGTCTGATTTAAAACTTTCCCAATAAGACCTGCTAGCTCATGACTAAGGACCCTCTCGCCTCTATAGGAAAGATGAATCCCATCTGATACCACACAAATGTGGGCTTAAAGATGTTAAGTGTTAAGAGCAACCAACACATGAACTGATTTCTTAGTGTGTGAGACTGTTCACGTGTAGTAATTTATAGTGCATAATGACAATATTGAGAGTGTATTAAATTATGGAAAGCTTAAGGTGAACAAGATTGCTTGGAAATATTGA